TAGCGCTTAAAATATATTTCTAATTTTCAATAATCAAATTTTGCATAGTCTGTAATATGTGATGGCATTTTATTTACATACATTACTTACATAAGACAACCTGTCTTAGGGAAGTTTCTATTTGGTTCCAAGCAAAAATTCACTCGCAAGACAATTTGACTCCTAAACCAGGTTGGTTACAGTAAACTTAAATCTATTCTTTCTTATGCAAATTCAATTATGTTCCTAATATAGATATTTATAGCATTTAGGGGTTTGGACGAGAGTTTCGACGTGAAGGCGTTATACAGGGTCAGATGGCTAGGAAAACTAAATTTAAAACTGACTGTTTCCAGGAAAAGTCGACTCCCAAGACTGGAACACTTCAAAGACAGGTGATTTCTAATCTAGGTTGTGTGTGCTGTAATTGAAAATTGACATTTAAAAAAACAAATTAAAATTACTCTCTGTATAAATATTATATTTGTTCCACTTTTTAAATATATATAGAAATAAATATAACTTTTTAAAATATCAAATTTAACCATTATTCGTACATAAGACGAAATCTTTGTCCACTTTTATCTCATGATATCTTAAATCTCTCAGTAGAATTTTGTGTAGACCACAATAAGGGCTTTGTTGTATGTGTTTTATAGAGAGCTTAATATAATGAGAGTTTTTTGCTGGTTCAACCTTACTTGGTAACCTACTGAAACCAACAGGGAGCCTATGGCCTTTACGATATTTCTTCTTGATCTTCAACTGTAGGGAATGATGGGGAGGTCTCGGGATATGGTCCCATGTTTTCTTACTAACCTTAATCTAGCGTAAGGGGTTTACAAGCCTTAATAAGGTGAGGTAAGCTTAGTTTAGCTTTATTATTATTATAAAATATATATTTGCATACAACACGTTCCATTTATTACTCAAAAAATCAAAATATTTTTCTCCCGCATGTACCATTCGCTTTATTCGAACTCCAAAATCTTGTATTATTGTCTCAAAACAAGCTTTCGAGCATCCGTTCTTCAACTGGATAATCTGTGTTCGCGAGGTCTTCCAAGAAATGTCGTTGAAGATTGCGGTCCTCCCCGACAGCGTGATTATTTAGATAGTAATAAACGAAACGTGTTGAAAATTGTTTTACAGAAAATAAGGTCAAATATATATGGCTAACATTCTGGAGAATTTTTTGAAAAAAAGAAAAATAAAAATAAGGTAAAAAAGTTTCTTTAAATTTTGGTTTTTCAAGCTTTCGAGCAAAAATATACTGCTCTTCAACGGGCTGATACTCTATGTACAATCTCTGATTGATCTTTATACAAAATAACTGAAAAATTTGTTATTGGCATGTGCTCTCGCGGGCATGCATCAGACTCTTTTTTTTTTTATTTTTTAAAAATCAACAATTAGTTTATATTTATTCCGACAGATGGCGCAGGCCATCATCAACTTATATTTGCACGATCAGGATATGCTTTTTTAAATTGATTTATTGACCTGCTTCCAGTATATTTTATTCTTTATAATATTTTCAAAAATATATTTTTAGTTTATTTACTTATTTTGTTTCAAACGTTCACATTTAATGAAGCTATGGTTACGGCGGTGAATATCAAACAAGCCAGACAAAGTCTTCTCAAGAACAAGATCCCCAAGGACCTGAGGACTCAAAGACACCAATATAAAATATAATTGTAAATAAACCCTTGTATATAACCACATCCCTCATTGTAAACGTGATGATCCAGGTCGCTCTTTTGAGCGGCATCTAATAAAGTTAACACAAAGCAACAACGCGCCATCTATACATATAAAATGAAAGGATTTAAGCACGAATGTTTCTTTTATACATAATACAAACTTCTACTGTCCTTACTGCGATGTAAAAATATATTGGGAGGGCTTGGCTCATCAGTGGTGAACCCTCCCAGCGGTTTCACCAATTTAATCTACCAGGCCGTTTCTTAGAGCTCTAATACTGTATTAGACGATTCTGCGTATATTCGCAGTACTGAAGGGTGGAATCATAGAAATTATTTTCAAGAAAACTATGCGCTTAAATCCTTCAATTTTACATATCTAATAAAGTTACTTAGGATCCGACCTACCTTAGTGTCAGGGTCCGGCGCCCCGCCGTAGTGCAGGGCGTCCAACGTGGGTCTGCTGACATGTCCCCTGAGTGACAGAAGGTCGCGGTAGTGGTCCTCCCTGGGCAGCACCTCGTGGGTGAAGTGCCGCAGACTCTCCGCGCTGATCTCGTCGTTGACGCGGTCCACCTGGAACCGCGAGTCCGCCGTCATGGTCAGTCGGACGACTATGCAAATCTGATCGGGCGCGCGCTAATACTTGGCTTGCCACGCCATTGGCCGGCCGCGCGCAGGCGCACGGACGATATGGGACACCCACAAACAACAACATCACCGGATATTGAATGGCAACAAAACACTACTAACAGTACCTCACCGTATATACATACTGGTTAGCAAATGTATGTATATTGGGTCTCTAATAGATAGGTGGGAGGAGGAAATGAACATCGTCCAGATCATCTGGTGGAGAACACTTCGGCGGAATGTACATAATTGTAAATATCTGTGTGTGTAGTCTCTCTTTTAACATTTATATCGTAATTCTGTGTTTGATCTTCTATTGACGAAAGTAAAAAAAAATGTTTAAAAGAGAGGATCGCTACAATATTCAAACTTCGAGAAGTGCTGTGTGGATAGACTGTCCGGATAGGATTAGCTACAGGATTCCATTCAACCTGCCACAGTGACAGCTTCTTGTGAGTTCTGAAGCAGTCAGTGGACCATGGCTCCAGAGCACAGGCCGCGGTTTCACGTCATCCTAACGGGACAGGTAATGAAACTCCTCACATCTACCACAAGGTTGACCAGTTCTGAATGTGCGAAAAATTGGCGTGAAGTGACAAATGTATTGATTTAAATCTGTAAGATTTTTAATACAGAGAATAAAATACATTATTTTAAGGCATTTTTAAAGGGAGCAGTTCTTTTTTCCTCACGTGACTCCCATCTTTGTAATGTAACAAATAAATTAATAAAATATAAATTCCAAACATTTGTAAAAAACTTCCCTAAAGAGAGAAATTATTTGAATCCATTCTGAGCGGTATTGCTTCTGTCCGAGTGAATGCTTAAGTAACCAATATTGTATAAACAACGATTTATTATTAGTAGTACAGTTAAACCTGTCTATAGCGCCCCCTCTAAATAGCGCCTTCCTCTCTATAGCGCCCGATTTTAAACATTAAAATGTAAACATTTTACATTAAAAGTGACCTGTCTATTGCTCCCCCTCTCTATAGCACCCTATTTTGGTGAGTCCCAAGACGGGGCGCTATAGACAGGTTTAACTGTAGTATGAATATGAATTCATTAATATATTGATATCACATATTTTGTTGCAGAATACATGTTTCTTTGTGATTTAGTTGCGCTGAATCCAGAAATGTTGTCCGTTTTTCTCAATCAGCTCTTGTTTTAAATATGTACACTCTTCCTGACATTAATGAGCCTTCTACAATAAGTGGTTATCTATTTTACGATAATAATTTTTAAAATTGAAAATAGGTTTTTATAAAAATACACTGACAAGGAGAGAATAGCTCTTTTTTAGCTAGCGCTACTAAAAAATGACAAAAAAGCGGCGGGGCACGATCATTATAAAATTTGAACTTTATGTGGTTTAATGTGGAACACAAATGATATGATGATAATGATATTAAAAACCGAGTTATTTGTGTAAGTTTTATTGTAGGGAAAGTTAATTGATTTTAAATATTAGGAAATAATTTATTTATGAGTATGTGTTTACATACATAAAGGATTGTTGAAAGTCGGAGTCATTCAGGGCCTTGGAAGCTTCGATTATAGGATTTCCGAGAGTGGAACTCTTTCCTCACAGTTTCTTCGCAGGTTCCAGCAGTAATCTGCCATCATGTGGGTCTTCCCAGGTACCGATCTTCAAATATTCAAGTTTTACAGACACAATGTGGAGCCCACGTTTTATCTTGGTCTTCTAGTTTAACTCCAAAGTAAGCGAGGTAGACCTTTTTTCACCAAGTCGGAAATGAGTTTCCCTGAAATCTTGCATTGTGTACTTTGTCAATATGTGACAAAATATATTGGGATGGTTGACACAGGACCTTCTGCTAGTAGACTCCATATTTATTGTCGACCTGAGAGAATTACAGGTGGGGCAAGCAAGGATAGTAAAAATATATGATGATAAAATCACAGAAAGATATATAATCTGTATTAGATGCAAAATTAAATAAATAAATTATTTTCACATTTTGTTTTCTTTATAAAAAAAGTAACCTGACACACCTGTCACAACCCAGCGTCTTCACCGTAGCACTGGCTGATTTTCAATTAGACTCTGTACCACTGGAATAGTAACATGGTCAAAGGGGATAAAATATCTCCAGTATACGAGTTAGCAACAATACACCTCTAAGACAAGAGCTGATAGAAAGAAAAAGTTTTCAGATTTGTAATCTGCACAACGAAAAACTCTAGAACAGCTGTTTCTTTGCCGGCAACAGACAAAAATTTGTTTTTGTTGGCCAGTGTAATAATTTCCCGACTCCAGAATAATGCAAATTACACCCCTATCGCACTAATTAGCATATTTCGTTTGTCCTGTATCTAAGTGAAGCTTTGGAAATATTTAGAGCTATAGGTAGGAAAGATTCACTTGTTTCAAGCACGGAATATGCAAAGTAGCCTAATAATGGATTAATTTGCATATTTCTTTCTTTTTGTTTCGTTTTCACAATATCTGCCCTATACAGAGGAAAATATGACGGAGATATTTCACCTGACTTTCTATAATTTGAGAGTTTCAACGTTAACGGGCTAATTAGCATATTTCGGAGTTTAAACCATGACAGTGAAAACTTTCAGACCTAACTCTATATATTTTAAAATAGTATTTCTTTATCACAATAAAGGTCAATTATATAAATGTACCAAACATTTGAAGAAGCCGGTTTACAGCACCCGGTGTTCCCAGGTGGTCACCCTCCCAAGTACTGACCGGGCCCAACGTTGCTTAACTTCGATGATCGAACGAGAACCGGTGCTTTCAACGCATAACTGATAAGAAGAAAAATACCAAACTCTGTATGGTGCCAAAGTTTCGCCAGGATAGGTCAAATTTTGTGCAAACGCGCCCGTATATGAAAACAAACGAGAAAAAAAAAACAAATTATTTTATTTATATAGATTAATACAAAATATTAAAGCTGCAAGAGCGCGAGCGACTTATTATTTTATATTTTAAATGATATAAAAATTAAGGGGGGGGGGGGATAATTAATTTCAACCAAATGACAACTGCCTTCTGCCTTGAAAATTTTAACACCTTTAGCGGGGTTACTCTAATTGAATGTATTTTAATTTATAAATGATGCTATTGTACATATTCGAGCATTCAGGCGTTTGTTTATTTTTTAAAATCAAAACACGTAAATTTAAAACTAATGTGTGTTAAAGAATAACACTAAAAATGTGGTAATCGATATTATTATTAATTTACACATAAAAATTTTAAAATACCTTTTTGACATTTCTTTAAAATTAAACCTTTTATCGTATATTTGGCTATATATTTTTTAAAATTAACTTGAGAGAGTGAGAATTTTCCCATAAATTGGATAAACGGTCTTCTGCTAAATTTATGTTAGTGTGATGATAAATGTGATCACTAACAATGTTTTAATATTTATTTTTTTCAAATATATTTCAAATTTATTTTTCATTTTTCAAATATATCGCTCAAAATTATTTTAAATGTATTTTAATATCTTTCGATTTATATATCGAAAAATCTTTCAAAAGCATTGCAATTATTTATATGGCATCATATCTAAATTTGAATAATTATTTTAATCACACAAAATATGCAGAAGGTATACGTTTAGATATAACATTTAAAAAATAATTTTAAGCTAAATTATATTTTTTAGAAATTAAGTTCGAGATATAAATATCTTATTCATTTTAAACACATCACACACAAGTTGTTGGGTGATTTCTAATATATATAAGACCTAAAAATAGAGATGTTTTAAATAAATTGAAATAGAACACAGAGATTAAAAAATCGATTTTATTTTGTTAATACTTAATAATAAGTGAATAAAATTATTTTAAAAACTACGTTTACGAAGTGAAAAATATTTTTAATAACCTTTTTTTTTTAATTAGGTAAAAAGTTATTATTAATCAAAAATAAGTATAATAAGAAAAATAAATTTGTAAATTAGCATATAATATATTGCAATTACAATTAAATTTTCTAAATTATATGTATAATTTAATTAATATATAATTTGTATGTGTGTGTGGAAAATGCTAACAAAAGAGAATATATAAGAGTTTAATAAAAAATATAGATTATATATTTAGCTATAATTTATAATATCTGCATAAAAATTCTCTAAAAATTAAAAACATTGAATTTGGGTAGGAAATCCCTTTCCCCAATAGATAGGTCTGTGTTTGCTTGCCCTACTGTTGGTGGTTGTGACGTGCCGTTTTTTTGGTCATTCTAAACATTCGTCTGTTTACGTTTTCTGTTGATATGTGAGATTGAATACGTTGACAAAGGGGCGGCTACATACTTAAAGATAATTCGCTATCATTCGCCATCTTGTATGGTGTTTTTTTATACTAGTCATTCTTTTAAAATAATAACATTTTTCATTTTGCTCGACGACTGATTATTTATTTTCGATTTAATATGTGCAGCGTTAAATGCGTCAAAAATAATGTTTCAAAGCAAAATATTTGGCAGTATTCATAAAATGGATGTCAATCCACGAACTAATTATTTTTATATGGCCTTCTTTAAACTGAACATTGTATAAATTATTAGATGTTCACATTACAAAATGTGTAATAGTTGGATGTTTATAGTAAAATTTCCAGGCCGAAACCAGGATCTACCAAGCAGAATTGACAAATTCCCTAAATCTATGTTTATATAGTGTTGCGTAGCGAAACAAAATTTCATATTTCGTTGTAAAAAGTTGAAAACAAAAGATATACTGCCATCTTGTTCGTAGCCTGTTGTGTGCCACATTTCTAACCAATAATTCGAAAACAGCAAATTCGAAAGTTTTCCTGATTTCTCTGGTAGCTGCACCGACTGATGAGTTGATTGCTAGAATATAATGAATTTGCATAGTGGCCTGTCTTCACCCGGGTTCTGCCTGAGTGAATGTTAGCTAAATGATAATTATTTTAACAAGTGTAAATTATTATCTGTGTTTGCGCGCGTGGGTTGAATTAGATTATTATATCTTACAAACTCTTCGCCAAAACCGCTGGGAGGGTTCACCATCGATGAGCCAGGCCCTCCCCATATTTTATCATCGCAATAAAGAGAGTAGAGTGGTTGTTTTAATTTCAAAATGAAAACACACATGGTTATATAGTTTCTATAATTTTGAATAATTACCCATATATTAATAATAATAGCTATGATGTGGATTCATCAACATTTTCCTGCCGCGATATATGAAAATTAGTTTAATATCGAGAAAAATTGAATCGGCCTTTCGAAGGAATGTGTGTCAATCTTCAGCCACCTATATGTAAAATTTCTTGATAATTTCTCCAATAGTTGTGGCGGAAACAAGAGTAACAAACATCCATGTAAACATCTTCATTTATACAAATTATGCAAAATTGTGGAAGGATGGTATTTATGCAACAAAAGGTGAACTTCTCCATTTAAAAATACATCAAACAATACATTTATCGGTATACAGATTTTTGACTGTTGTCCGAATTTGTCAAAGCTGGTGTTGTGGCTTTTTTCAACTATATGAATCTGTGTCCTTTGCGCAGAAAATATCGATAAATGTATTGTTTTAATGGACTTCTAAAGGGAGAGGTGCCCACTTCGGTACTAGCTCTCTCCACGAAGTACAGTTCCAGGTTCTCGCTTACTTTCAAAAGCTTCTTTTTTTTTGGATAAATTTTCCATGTTAATTTCAAAGGGAGATAAAAAAAAAACAAATGTTTTATATTCCTCATCACTTTGTAGTTTTAGCCATCTTCCATCGCTAATGAAAAATGGCAGAAAATCTTAATTAAAATAATGAATCACGTTCTCAGCAATAAACTTCTTTAATAATTTATTAAATTACGGATCAATAGTTAACTGTACTATAGGGGCGTGTGTTTACATCTAGTTCACTTTCTATCCAGACATGTGGTTTCAGCCGCGTTTACAACCGGGTGTCAAATAACAACGCTTGCTAGCAATCAAACTACAATTGAGGATTTTACATTGAAAATGGCGGTAGTGGCTCGCTGTATGGAAAATACAAGTTATAAAGCACAACGTTGTTACCATCAGACAAAATTCAGCTTTTCATTCAGTCTGATGATTGTGACAACGTCACACACAATTTATTTATTTGGATTTGTTACCTTGTCGATAATCCAAGTTGTACCTTATCAAAAGGCTGATGAGGCACAGGCCATGATAATCATATACTGTAAGCAGAAAGCAGTGCGACTTTTGCACTTTCAAGTGTGTTAGACCGCTGTTTGAGCTAGGCTCGCGCAAGAATCCCACTGTAAAAACAATTAACTACACTCATAGACAAAACTTAAGGAATTTTTCATATTTTGATGTCGCTGGTCGTTTTTTTCTTTTTGAAGGAAATAGAGGCAATTTCGTTCATACTTGGTTATCTCGTGTGTCTCCAATAAAAGTCACTGTAATATCTTTCAGAGTTATTGTCTTAATCTCGATATACATGTTTAAAAGGTACAACCGCCTTAAATTGTTTTCATGAGTGTATTTACAAAAAAACGGTTTGTAAGTGTAAAGTCGAACTGCTTTTCATATGTGTAGACATGTGGTTCACTTACAGTAAAGGCAGTCGCCTACTTCTACCCACCATGATTATCATGGCCTGTACCACGTGTACTAGGGATAAGCAAAAAAGAAAAAAAAAAACGGTTACAAAAAGATGTTTGTTTTCAAACCCAGGTCTAGAAAACAGCACCACAAGACCGGCGGCACCACTTCTGATTATTTAGATTTAAGAACAAAGCTGAGACTTGGAACAAACATTTGGGCTCAGATGACCTCGTAGTTGTCCGACAGTCCACGGGAGCTGTTGTCACATCGGGCCACTGCAGCGCTGACATTGAGCAGTCCCAACTTGACAACGGCTTCCAGTAGGCGCTAACTTACAAAGTAGAGATACTTTATAATCAACGTATTTGCATACCTGGGTTGGTCAGTTTTACTCGTTATTTACATACTGGACAAATGGCTCGACTTCTGCCTGAGTGAATGAATGTTTTCCCAGTACTGCCAGTCTGAAACACGCACGTGTTTTTCTTGATTTATTAAAAAAGTATATTTGACCACAACACTCTGGAATAATAAACTTTTTAACATGAAAATAACTTTAAAAACGATTGGTTGTGATATATTCAGATAGCTAATGCAAGCCATCAGCAAATTTCAGCTTCACGATAGGAAGATGATTATTATTATCATTATTACTAGCACTAGCAGTGATAGGAATGCTGTCAGATTTCCATACAGATAGCTCCAATATTAAAGAGAGGTATATGCAAATTTCCAGGGTTGAAACACTCTCAATACTTACTCTATCTGTTGTCAGAGTTCCATCCAGATGGCTCCAATATTTGGGAAGTATATATGCAAATTAGTCAGTTATCGAACCAAGTTGCATATCCCGAGGCCAAAACTACGACTGTGACTCCTTCCTGGACGAACTCTTGTACCAAGTTGCATCCAAATAGTGGAAATGTGTGCCGGACAAACACTATTCTCCCTTCACATAAATTACATGTAATCCATTTCCAAGTCGTACATCTTGACACCTCAGGTAGATTTCCTTGACTTTAGTAAAGGGACTTCTAACCAGATGAAGGTTTCCTTTTTCTCTTCACTTTATTTTATTATTTCTTTATTTTATTTCAACACACAAGACGCGATATCCCGGCTAGGAATAATTGCGTCGATTTACATTTTTTTAACAGAAACAGTTATAAACATATTATACAAGTAACCTGAACCTTTCAGGCCCGAAAGACAAAATC